AGGGCAGAAGGAGCTTGGCTCGGCTGTGTGTAGAAGAGTGTTTAACAGATGCGGTCGCAAGACTACTTATTTAAACTTCTGAGTGTGTGTGAATATGTACGTTTTTCAGAGGCTTAACTAAAGCCCTGCTTTCATGGGAATGTGGCTTCAGTCACCTCCTGAACAGCTCAATACTTCTTTTTTGTCAAGCTTTAGCTTGTGTGGTCTGGTGAGAGGAATGACATCTCGAAGTGAAATCGCAGGAACGTCTTAAAGATGCAGTTGCAGCATACTTGCTTAAATCTCAGGCAGGCTGAAGTTTCTTTGGCTGACAAGCAGTTTGACAAAGAATACAGATAAAAATGGGCCCTTCTAATAAAGGTGATTGAGCAACCCTTCAGTATAGGTGTTGCTTGCTGTTCTACCTACGTGTATTGCAATTGATGTTTGATATTGAGCAAGTATGTAGGAGGGCATCTATTTATCTGAGAAACAGTCTTGATGGAAGTAGCAGGAGGTGGTGTAAGCCTGCATGGGAGAGGGATTATAATATAAAAGCTCAGAAAGCAAATGGGTTTGTTTGGCACTTGCAAAATCAAGCCTCACAGAAACAGTGGGGCAAAAAGATGAGACGCAAGGAAGAGAACATCCCTGAAGCAAAACAAAGAAAGGTCAAAGCAGGCTTCTGTGGATTCCTTCTGAAAGTTTTCAGGATATTGTGTAAACTTGATAGGTGCGCTTTGATGTTAACATTTAGTTCACTGAACCAGAATTTGAGTGAAGTATGTAAATGACCAGTAAAACAGCAGTATGCTTCGAACTTAGAAAAACAAACAAAAATCCGGAAGAGATAATGGCAGCTTCTGAACACCACCACAATTACTTGCTGGAAGTATATCTGTTCTTAGTAAAGACTGAAAAGGTAGCTGAAATTAACCTTTTCAGAGGTATTTCATCCTAGTCTTGAAATAAGCTGTATTGCAAAAAAAGATAATTCCATGGGATTCTACTGTTGTGTACAAAGATATCTCCTAAATTTGTACTTCTGTTACTGAGTATCATGAAGGGCTAAAGTCAGTGGCTTCATGTGGTACAGCCTTTTAGTGTTGTTTCTTGCTTAGTAAGCAATGTGTGTCTAAGTTGTTGCCTTTATGTTGAGTTTAAAATTTAGGTAACATGTCAATGAAAGATCATATTCTGCCTTCTCTACAGAAGGAATGGAGTTTATGTACTTTGAGCTGTTACCTCTTTACATTGCTTCCTGAAGGCTTTTGCTTCCCCAGACTACAGGAAGAACATTAGAGTCCTGCTGTGCTCATTGAGTAAGAGTTTTTCCTCAAAGCTCTAAGACTATGGTACCTGCTCTAAAAATCAGAATCTAATCACTGCAGTGAAGCAACACTTTATAAATGTGAAAGTTGTTTGTGGGAAATGATTGAGATATGGTTTGCGATACCGGTATTGAGCTTTAAAGTCCTTGACCCCGAATAGAGTAACAGAAGTTACCCAAAGAGGTAGAATTGCGTGTTCCATTATTATGGCTTGGGGCAGTCAAAACTTGCAGTCCTCCACTGGAATAAGTAGCTTTGGTTTCAGCTTTATAACCTGAAAACATGAAAGCAAGCATAATGAATGCATGCTGCTTTTCTGAGGTGGATATAGTATTAGAATAGCATTGCATCATGGGTTAGCTTTTCGATCTTGCACAAAGAACCAGGATAAATTGCTTTTAAAACTGACATTAATAAGTAATTGTTCTGCCAGTTTCACATCTGGCTTCTCTTAACTGGTGATTAATAGGGATCTGAATGACTTTAAATCATATAAATACACATTTACTCTAACTGTTGTCTTAATGCTTTAAAGTCAGCATAGTTAGAATGTTAGCTGTAGGTAGACTTCCAGTTTTTGTAAAATGCAGCAGTAATGTTAACTTCAAACTAGCCAATTAGCACATGAAAGTTTGGTAGCTCTGTATATTATGACTTTGAAGTTGCATGTGTTTTTTTTTTCTATAGATCCTAAAAATGTTAGTTGTCACTAAAATTATATTATCTAAGCCATTAATAGTAGGTAACTGAGTCCTCTTAATTTCTATTCTAATGATTTAAACCAGTAGCTTCTGAAAAACATCCAGTAAAGCAGCTTTCTTTTTTTTTGAGAGAGATCTATATACGCCACTCTAGACAAGTTCTGGCATTGTCTTGCGGTAGAAATCTAAATTACTTTAGTTGCATAAAGAATACCAAGGAGTCTCAAAATCTTCTGGTAATAGAAAAATAAGCATGGAGACTTTGGTCTTCTGAGGCACTTCTGAAATATCTCTTCCTGATGACTCAGCAATAATGCAAATATAGTCATTGTTAATTTAGGTGGCTTTGAAATAGTTCATTCCTGGTAAAGCTTGCGTGCTTACATTAACATAAGCTGTCTAGGACCTTTCTTTTAATTGAAATGAACTTTAGAAGAGTTAGCATCAGTATTATAAACGGAATTAACTGATCTTCTGTTTTCATTAGTAAATATATAAATGCAAGGACATAACTTGGGGGGAAAAAAAAAAAATAAGAAGTCCTCTACTGATCTGTGCTAGAAACTGAAGGACACTGTGCCTGCTGTCTCAGTCTTGTATGCTCTGAGAACTGAACAATCTAACGCTTTTGCAGAAGGGTAATACCATCACGTCTTAGGAGATGGCAGTGTGGGGGAACAGAGTGGTGACAGTTCATCTGTATTTGCAGGATGGCCTCTGGCCTATTAATACCCTCACTGCCAGTATGAAGAAAATACATATATGAAATTTCTTGAAAAATAATTCTTCCTCAATATAGCCTTTTTGGAATGAATTGCAGTAGCAATGTAAGGTATTGACTAGCTGTCAGTTCCTCTTTAGATGTCTAGGCACTTAATCGGAAAGCAGACACACAGAAACTGCTTGAGTAAATTCAGCAACTCCTGCTTACAGTTCTGGAAATGTTAGTATGAAGTGTTCCCTTTGTCAAGGGATTGAATGTAGTTCTTCATAATTTGAAATGGAGTCAGGAGTAGATGAGTACACTTGTTGCAGTTGGATATGGTGCATTTGTTGTAGCTGTATTGGCTGCAGAGCTTTGGGGCTGGATGTAAGGGTCTATATGACCTTTATCTGCTCTCTTCTAGGAGTATAATAATTTTACCAGTCTCATGTGAATGTGAGGATGATCTTAGCCAGAGCTGCCTACTCTGTTAAAATAGCATCACTTTGATTCTATTTTAGGCTTTCACTTGCCTGAAAACAACTTCCAATTTAAAAATCAAGGTTAACTTCTGTTGGCACAAAACCATCATGCCAGGAAACAGATTTAAACTTCTTTGTTTAAGGGTTGGTTTTTTTTTTTTTTTGGGGGGGGGGGGGGGGAAGAATGCTTTTTTTTACTTCTTGGAGGTTTGTTTTTTTTTTTGTGTGGGGGGGGGGGGAGGGGAAGTATGCATTTGTTTACTTCAGTTAACTATTGCTATGGTTCAGTTAATAAGAAAACAAAAAAAAGTGGTTAGATTGATCAAGGACACTCTAACAAGCATCTTGTTACAAGTCACAGGCGGATTCAAAGACTCGCAGCCAGTGTGATTTCCTGAGTAGACCTGACTGTTCCCTTGCCATAGCTATTTGTATAACAGCGCTCTAAGAATACGGAAATCAGTGTGAGGGAAGTGACTGTTAAGTGTTCTGCAGCAGTAGGCTTTCTATTAGTAGCTGGTTTCTTGTAAGTCATGATTTAAATTGAGTCCTATCAGTATCTGTGTTGGAAAGAGGACGTTTAAAAATTCTAAAGCTTTTTAAAAAGAATAGCAAGCAATCTTAAATATATGCTGTAGTCTATCTTTCATGCATAGATCATTAAGTTATTACATAAATTCATACCTAGATGATCACTTAAATGAAACCCATACGTGATGGGAGTGTAATTGCATGTGAGATCACTGAAAATATGTTATAGCTTATGTCTGGAACAGCCACAGTTGGCCTAAGCTGAGTGACAGTAAGATCTTTGGCAAATTTGGTTTGACCTACTTGTAGGTATACAAAGAATTCCAAGTTCTTCAAAGCCACAACAGAGGAACTGTAGCTGTTTAGTTTTGTCATGACAGACCTTGTTGTGACAGAAATTTTTGTCCTTTTAAACTAGTTGGGGTAGCATCTCAGATGTTTTGAAGACTACAGGGGATGAATGTCTTCCACAGACCATAATGAGATTTTATTTTGCTATGAAAAAGATACGAAGCAGCAAACAGTTATCCTGAAGACAGCTCTTGAGAGAAATGGAATTTTTAATACTGCTACATTAATCAAGGTTAATGCCATGATAGTTTTCTGACTCCTACCTATTTTCTGTTTGTGATGCACTTCTCATTATGCTGATTATGAAAGAAAGTAACACTTTTTTCTTGTTTCTTCCATGTGCTTTTTGAATGGAAAACAATGATGGCCCACTTCAACAGTACGGTAAGAAAAGGGAGGGGACTTCTGGTTTCACATCTGACTTCAGTAACTTGCAGTCTTTTTGCCTTGGCACTGTCACGACCTTGCCTGCATCTGAAAGCATACTGCAGACTTCCAGGAGTAATGCATTAGTAATGTTTATTTGCAAGTCTGAGGTTAAGGTGACCAAATATTAGCTCCTTCACAAGTCTCCTAAAGCAATCACTACAAAAGTAAAGGGGCTTCATTTTTTCCATACCCTTTGCTACAGAGATCAGGTCAAGCTGGAGCCACTCTTCTGCATAGCAACAATACTGGTACATAACCAAACTACCTGGCTTGTTTTTTAACGAGCTTTATGTTACCATTTATTGCCTGACATGTAACTCTCACTGCAGACTCTTCTTTCCTTCAGCCTTATAGTTTGCTTCTGAAACTGGGAGTGGTTTTTTTAAGCCTGTTATACTGTGAATCATAACGTTATGGAAGACTTGCTCTTCTACACAGACCAAAGACAAACTGTAGAGGTGTAGTTTAATTCTTGTGTGTGTAAACTGCGAAGGCTGGCTGCCTGGAGGCACTTAAAACTGGATAACCATCTCAAGTAAGCAGGTTCTAAATCTACCTCCCTGGTCAGCAGAGGAAAGTTACTGCTGCAGTGCTGCTGGGATGTGAACTGATGATTCATCAGCTTGTGCAGCCTGAGATTGAAGTGATCCATAGTCTATGGTGTGTGGTTTGTTTATATTCTAGTAGAGTTGAATTAAGTAGCAGAAGTCATCACTAGGACTTCCAAGTCTGTAAAGACTTACCCTTCTGAAACTACAGTTGTTTAAACAAGACTCCTGAAATGACTAGAAACCTCACCAAGTACATGTACTGCCTTACCAGTTTTGGTTTGCAGTCTGCTGTAGTGTGGTAATGCTAACACAAGTTGTCTTGCTGTCTTACTGTGTAAATAATTATGGTTATGACTAGATGTTTGTTTCTGGTCCTCTTATCATACTTTATTTAAATAGCTCCATTAAAGCCTCTAAACAATATCTTGTGTGCTGATGACTGTTTTCTATGAATATTCTTCTTGCAACATCTTCTGCAAGTGGTGTTACAAGCACATTGTTTTACGCTATTTAACTATAGCTGTACAGTCTAAATGCCATGTAGCCATGCAACTTCTCAGTTACGCCATGGTACCTCTCATGAGAGGCTTTAACCATTAGATGTAATTTTTTCTATCAGTAGGAATATAGTAAACAAATGCATTTATTGCATCTTTTGAAATACTCTTATTATAAATTTTAGTTTGGACCAATGTCAGTTCTGTGGACACTTGCAGAAATATGACATTGTTTTGTGTATTGCACTATGTTAAACGATCAAAATGGTGTGTACAACTTAACCAAAAAAAAAAAAGCGTAGTAAAAGTAAGTTTCTTCTATTGCAACCCACATCTGCAGGAAGCAAGTGTGGCTTTTAATACTGCTGTAGTGTTGACAACCTAGTATCTGGACTGGCTAGAGTATCTTTAGTTAAAATTGTAAGAAACTTAAACATCACCTGACAATTCAAAGTTTTTGCAATGTCTTCAGTGTTACATTTAGGGGAAGTATCAAAAGAACAGAAAGTTGGAATGTACAAAGCTTTTTCTTGCAAAGTGCATCTCTTTTGCCATGTCTGGCCAAGTTACTTTTGCACATCCGTAGTTTCTCATTAGGAGAAGCTGATGCAAGTACTGCATGCATCTTCTGTGGAAAGAATTCTACTGAAGGCTTGTTACTTTTAACAATAGTGGATATTTGACCTGGGAGACTATTTTTCTCAGTCTTTTAGACAATACTTGTCAAATGGAGCTCTCATCAGTTTTTCTGAATTGATTCTTTGCACTTCTTGTCTCTCTTTTCCTGTGTACACACCTTTACCTAACTGCTCTACTCTTATATTTGTCTAATCACTGAGCTTTCGGTAGCCACCAGGTTGTTTTGGCCATTACAGATGAAGCTTTAGGTAACAACTTGGTTTGGTTGCATGGCCCTGCTCTTTCAAAAGATGGTGTAAGCACTTGGAAGAAGATGCGTGCTGAGCATTTCTTCATCCTTGGCATAACATGAAAACAGTTCCAGTTCTTCAGTTCAGCAAGTCCTTGTGCTTTCATTACATTTTTGAAAAGCCTTATTTGAAAGAGATGAATGCTAATTCTCTGCACAGAAGTGAGCTATAAATCTGAGGCTGTTACATGTTTATACTGATCAGTGATGGCCAAGGTATTATAATTACACAAAACTGCATTTCAGTGGCCTTTCAGTAGTTCCTCTTCAGTCTGGAAGAACATTCGGAGTGGGTTCCTCTTCCTTTCACCCTGAAGGCTAGATCCTGCTAGAAGAAGGGTTTAGTTTTTCTCCTTTACATCAAAAGTAGTCCCTATCTTAACATGGAATTTTACCTTTAACCCTGTCCTCTGAAGCTTTGTGTGGCTAAAAAGAACTATAAGAATACCATAAGAGGTCTGTGTTTCTGTGTAACTTTATTTTCATTTTCTGTCTTTGCAGCACTTTTGGGGGCCAGTTGCCAACTGGGGACTTCCTATTGCTGCTTTTAATGATATGAAGAAATCGCCAGAAATCGTTAGTGGCCGAATGACATTTGGTAAGACGTAAGATAAACTAATTGTCAGTAAACAGACTACAGAACAGAGATTTTTCTTTCAAGTTTATTTCAGACAACTAATAATTTATCAAGTGATACACTACTAGTTGCCTGCACACTTGTGATTAAAGCATATAGATACAAATATCTTATTACATAATTTCAGAGGCCACTTGAAAACTGAGGCACTGCAGAGTGGTGGGATTTTGTTTTGTTTGGGGTTTTTTTTTTCAGAGAGTTTTCCAGTAGTTTGGAGGGAGAGGGATGATGTAGGTCTTGAGTCTTGGCAGTTTTGATCACCAGACTCACTCCTAAAGTGTAATTATTTTTGTATCTTATACTACTTATACACACACTAGTTCAGAATGTGTCATTTACCCAACTTCATTCTTTGTGTGAAGAACAATGATGCTTTGTGGTTAGTATGAGACTAAAATATCAACACTGAAAAAGTGAAGAAATGGCAATTCTTAGTCTTCAGAGTGCAAAAAGCAGTTGAGGGAGATTAACTCCTTGCAAAGCAGTTGCCTATGAGAGGCTAGTGTGATTCTTAATGGAATAGTGAGAAACGTTTTTAAATGCATGAACAATATTTTTTTCCCCCATTTTTGGACCATATATAGCTTTTTGCCTGTATGTCTGTCTCTACATTCAAATTCTTCTCTAGGATCATAAATCTGGTAGCTTTAATTTATTAGCTTAATTTTTTTATTATTTTCTTCCTTAACTCAGTTAACTTAATTCTGAGTAATTCTTCTCTCCCCAAGCAAATAGCTTTAGGTTATGGAAATTTACGCTAGGTTCTGCTTACAGTAATTGTCTCCTAATTGGCTTCCTCAAGATGGAAGACCGTTTAGAATAGTCTCTGGCATAGTGAAACTGTTTTGCAAATAGTGTTTTGGTGGCAGCTACCCAGTTCAGCCAAGTTGAGACACACTTTTAATTTTTATAAATATACATAGGGCGGTGTACGTACAAATGTTTTTCTTCCATCTTTTAGGTTTTGTACTTTAAGAGAGGCTGTTTTCCTTGGACAGTTTCCTGGGTTTTGGTGTGGTTTTTTTTATTAAGCCTGTCAGAACTTTGCAAAACTACTGACATCTTTGGTTGTAACTTCCTGCATTTAAGTGCAATTACAATAGAGTAGATTAAAATTGTTTCTTATCTTCCTGGAAAGCAGATAACAAAGCTTTATGCTTCTCAATGTTCATGATTTCCTGGAGATAGAAGCCACCTTCTCTTGAAGTCCATTTTAAAATGTTCCCAGCAAGAACTGTATTTAAGTAATTAGTATTTCAAAAATACTCTGTCCTAGAAGTTGTCAGAATAATTGTATAGGACAGGCCATGTCTCATTGGGATTAACTCTTCTCTGGCTGAGATAGTTCAGGTAGTCTTGTGGTTTAACCCCAGCCAGCATCTAAGTACTGCACAGCTGCTTGCTCACTTCTCCCCTTCCCCCAGCTCCCTGTGGGATGGGGAAGAGAACTGGAAGAATGCAAAACCTGTGTGTTGAGATATCAACAGTTTAATAACTGAAAGGAAAACATAATAATAGGAAAAAGACAGAGGAATAAAATTCAGGAAACAAGTGATGCACAGTACAATTGTTCACCACCCACTGACCAATGCTCAGCCTGTTCCCAAGCAGTGATTGGCAGTTCCTGGCCAACTCCCACCCCCCCCAGTTTATATACTGGGCATGATGTGCTGTGGCATGGAATACACCTTCGGTTAGTTTGGGTCAGGTGTCCTGTTTCTGCTCCCTCCTGGCTTCTTGTGCTCCTCCTCACTGGCAGAGCAGGAGAGACTGAAAAAGTCCTTGATCAGGGAAAGTGCTATTTAACAACAACTAAAAACATTGGTGTGTCATCAACATTATTCTCATACTAAAGCCAAACCACAGCATTGTACCTGCTACTAGGAAGAACGTTAACTCTATCCCAGCTGAAGCCAGGACAGGTAATAAACTAAAGACTCAGCTGCATCACAGGAAAGCATATGAGGGAACAGAGTTCTTGTGGAAAGCTTCAGCTCTGTAGATATTCTTGTGTAGCAAAAATGAGTACTGTTGTGTGTTTTCCTTCATTGGATCCTTGGTATGGACACGTTTGTAGGACTACTGGAAAATTTAAAAGCCGTGAGAAGCATTGTAACTGTCATTACATTCCATTAGTATGAAAATTATGCCTCAACAAAATGGAGGTATTAAAAATCTATCAATATCTATCATGTTTTGCAGCACTGTGTTTGTACTCTTTGGCTTTCATGAGATTTGCCTACAAAGTGCAGCCAAGGAACTGGCTTCTTTTTGCATGCCACTTCACTAACGAAGTTGCACAGCTTACTCAAGGAGGACGACTGATCAAATACAGGCAAGTTACATATCAAAAAAGGGAAGTCAAACTGATGGCTCTACTCTGTTAGTAGATTTCTAACTGTGGTGGAAACCCTTACATGGCTTCTGAACATGTTTAACTTCATTACCTTTTGAAAACTTTAGCAAGCTCATTGTCAGTAGGCTAACTATGACTTGTTGCCTTGCACTCCCTTTGAAGCTTCTGAGGGATACACACAGAAAAGAGTGAAAACCCTTATGGTCATGGATGTAGATAGGACTTACGCAGCTGCTGGCTATTCTGGGGTTTGTTTCATGTATTATGTTCATTAGTCTGCATGTGTCTGTTTCAGTAACTGATTTTTGAGATGGAAACATCTGAAGGGGTTGTATGTCTGAAATAGAAATTAAGCAAAATCTCTCTAAGATGACTCTTTTATATATCGGGTAGATAGATACAACTGAGTGTGACCGGGGAACAGACTGCAAGCAGTCTCACACCCTCACTGTGTAACAAGTAGTGCAGACACTGCCCCAGGTAGTCCTCGTGAGTCAGGATTATGGCTCTTCTCACTTCTGCTCCAAGAAATCAATGTGGAGCAATGGGAGGACAAAGCTTCCTGAACTATAAATTAGAAAGTGAGCAAAACTGCAAATGGACCTGCCTTTCTATAAGTAACTGTCCAAATGTCTTTCATTCCTAAAGTTCTGGTTTAAGTCCAGACTCTTTATAGCACTTGCAGCTGAATATTCACTCTTATAAAATATTATCTTCTCTTGGCAGGCTTGAGAAAAAGAACTAAATGTCTACTTTGAAGTAAGCCATGGAATGTGTTTATCCTGAATTACAACCAAGGAAGATCTGCCATCTACAGTTGCTCTGACAATTACAATGGGGTTAAAACAAACACCTATTATGAATGACCTCACCAAGAATCCTTCTACTAATTTTTTTTTTATCTTGCCTTTTAGAGAGTAATATTCAGCAATGTAAACCATTGTATTTGAAGTCTCACTGCCTTACAGGTCCTTAATAACTACCCTTTTAATAAAAAGTTAGTCATCTGAATAACAAGCAATATATGAAAACCAACTTTTTTATCAAACAGTCTACGAAAGTGGCCCATGATGGCTTGACAACTGTAGGTGGTATCATGATATTAACATTCTTAAAAGCCATTTTACTTGGGTGCATTCATTCCTATTCTATTTTATTTTTTTTTTTAACTTAAGCAGTGGCTTGCTAATCTACAAGAACAAATGTGTAGCTAGGCAGCCTGGAAGTGACCAGCTATCCTTCTTCCCTTACTGCATGCCTTGTCTCAGTAAGACGACTTCATTACTATCCATTTTTAAGTCGCACATTATTTGAAAAAGACTTGGAAGAGCAAAACGATAGCACTGAATGAATGAAGGCAACAAGGTCTGGTACTGTTCTTTAAGAAGTTCTGAATGGATTTTGTTTTTTCCTACTGTTTGAGTTGTTCTAGATGTACGTAATCCTTACACAGATAACTTAACTTTTTTGAAGCTAACACCTGAAGGACATGAGGTGCCTTTCAGTAGTTTTTAATGTCATTGGGAGAGTGGTTTTCCTGCATGACCTGCCTGAAAATTACACTGCTGTAAAGATATAGGTAACGAAGAATGTGTGTGATGGATTTTATTTCAGTGCAGTGTTTTTGAACAATAAACATGTTCCAAATGGCAATAAATCCTTTCAACATTTTGAAAAGTTTTATTTGTCATACTGTGATACCAGATTCAGAAGTGAAATTTTAGTATGGGGTGTCAGTTTATTACTGTAACAGCATTAAGCAAAAACAGGCTGGAAAAGTAAGTTATTATCCTTTGTATGTACTGAGTTTAGGCAAGTGTCCTCTGGATTGTAATACCTAGCACTTCCCTGCCACCCCTCGAAAAAAGGGGTGTGTGTACTTGACTGAGTATTCCTCCTGTGATAGTCAGGGTTGAGTTCAGGGCTCTCAGGGTTGAATTCAGGGCTGAGTAAGTATTGCATATTGTCTTCTAGCAATAATAAGATGGTCAATTAAGACTTGCTTTAATCCTAGACTGATACTGTGATCCAAATTGAATGGTAGCTGAATTTTGTAATGTGCATACAAGAGGTTTATAGGGCATGCTCTGCTGTATAGGTAAAACTTATTATTGACTGCTACTTGTTGCTTTAGAAAGTTGGTGTATTGAGCTGTTCTTTCAGTACTGCTGTCTTGTGACTAAAGTAGTCATCTTCTCTCCCTCCCCATCTCATGGAATGTAAGAAGTGTTAGACTAAATGAGTGAGATGCAAGCAGAAAAGGGTAACTGATCATCTTGCCACCTTGTTCTCATATTTCTGGAGGAAAAAACCTCTAGGTGAGTTAAACTTCGTAAGTAAGAAACGTGGTCGTTTTGGCCTGTTCTTAGGTGAAGTTTGTAACACATGTAATGCTCTAGCCTCCTGTGGTGCTCTTACCTCTGTTGATTAGCCACTGATTATCTTAACTTCCCTACCTAGGGAATACTGTTTACAAGAGTTTATTTCCTCATTTTCCTGGTAGTTGCCTGCACAATAGTCTCTCATGTATTTCTTTCTACCTTTTTCTTTCCTTTCTTTTTTCTGTCCATTCACCATGACAAGGCTCAGCTTCTTTTATACTGGGTAAGTACAAGAGTGAATTGCAGGTGGGAAGTGGGCTCTAACTTGCTTTGAGGTTTTAAACCTGTGATGATTCCTGCAATCCATACAGGCTTCTACAAAGGGAATGGGTGGAGCAAAGCATCCTTCATGGGACTTCAAGGGACAAAGGCCCAGGCTGGGATGGAGAACTTGGGCCTGGGGATGGATGTCCCACAGCCCGTCAGTCTGTCCAGTGACAAAAATGTTCCTGTGAGCAGGGTGCCACCGAGTGTTTTGTCACCTCTGTCACATCTACCTACCATTTCTGTTTAAATGAGGGGAGGGGGGAGGGAAGAGGGCAGGAGGAGGAAGAATCTTGAGGAGAAAACATGAGGAATTACAGCAGTAAGTAATTGTATCATTAATCTGTGCCTTCTTCCTCTGACAGAAAATACTGAGACGCATTGGCATATGGCCATTTTGGGATCTTGCTGTCTGGGATAATCCAGAAAGTGAACATTTTTTAAGAGACTGGAGGTTATTATATTCTTGAGCCTGAACACTTTACAGGAGCTAAGAGCTTCCTTTTTTAATTTGCTCTCTTACACCTATTTCCCACCCCCCACCCTCCCCCTTCAGGTAGCATTGGATACAAGAATGGGGCTATGCTAGCTTCACTGATTAGTAATAATCCACAGTTAAGAGCTCAGTATTTGCATTTTATTTATAAGATTGTAGGGTTTCTCTCTATATTCTGTTATTCTGGAATGCCTGTTTGATTTCACAGCTTGCTTTAATCTGAACAACTTTTCAACTGTAGGATAGGTCCTGCCACTAGAAACCTGTGCAGTCTGATTCCTCGTGCTGTCCTTTGCATACTGCAAGGGACAGAGAACCACAAGACAGAGAACCGTAAGACAGAGAACCACATGGCCTTTCCTGTCTTGCTGCCAAGGCTGGTGCTGCAGTGTCAGCTGTTGTTGTCTACCATGGTTTGGGACAGAAAAGAATTTCTCACCTTTTGGAACAAGTGCTGCTAGATTGCTTCTAAGGAATGCAGCACCCTTAGGAATTCAAGAGGGAGACAATACCAGCAAAGCTCTTGGTCTGTCTTCGTTCTCCCGTTCTCCCCAGTTTGAGCTTCAGATCTCTTGACCTCATTTCTTCAAGGGGAGGCTTGGACTGTAACTTACTATGGCATTAAAATAGGTCACAGTCTCTTCTGCTGTTGCCAGACTAAATGCTGATTTGAGTCAAATGCGGAGGTCATTTGGTACCACTCTAATAAATAGGGTCAGAAGAGATAACTTACAAGGCTTCTTTAACGAGGGTAACAGCAGCTGCCTCTCATGCTATGTAATCATTTAACCTATGCTGCTATTTATGGTATGTGTATGTGTGTGTATATATATATATATATATTTTATTTTTTTTTTCAAATTTTGCTTGTATAACTTGTGTGAACAAGTGAGCTTTCCCTATTCTAAAACCAGCAGAAAACTCTTAACCACGGTACTGCACATACAGCCTGACAGCTCTAAGAGAAAACGCATTCTTAGTGAAACATAGTTCTCTATAGCATTGTGAGTTAGCTTTTGTTCTCTTTACAAAGCACAATGATGCTATCTGAGCAAGGACACCAATTCAGAGAACTGGAGGGGGGAAGGGACACAAAAGTCTCAATATGTTTACAGATTGAGAGAAGGCAGCAAGAAAGGAAGAATTTGCTCCTTGGGACCAAGGCAGATTTTGATATAGAAGTGTTTAGAAAATACAATCTCAGATTAGGACAGAGCAGTTTTCCAACTACTCCAGTGCCTTGCCTGAGCTAAAATGACAGGCTACCAACAATATAAAATGGTAACAGGAAAGACTCGCAAGCACAGTCACCAGCTCTCTTAGTTTTTCAGCTTGTATCTCACTGGGTATTTTGATCCTGTCTGCATTAGGGCAACAATGTTGTCTAATGTAGTACGTCTGCAGTTGTGCTTATATAAAGCTGGAGCATTTCTGCTGTCAACTTATTCAGAGGCTAAAATGTTTATTCTAATTAAATATGATTGCTGCAAGTTTCACTGTTTGTAAAGGGGGAAAAACAAGCACTCTGGTCTTCTAAAATGAGGTCATCTCTTTATTAAATGAATTGTGGAGAAATCTTTCTCTCCCTACCCAATACCTTTCTGCTTTAGCTGATACAATAGCTGCCAGTGCATTGCGTTCAGTCACTGTGGTAACCACTTATAAATAAGCAATGTCCATAGAATCAACCGTAACAACAAGGCAAAAATACTGCCTTCCCAGCTAACCTGCTCCAAGTGTTATCACTGAAGTCTTGCTTCTTCAAGATCACTGCCTCTGTCTTTATCACATGGTCTAACCCTGACCATGCTACTGCTCTCTTCTACTTTTTCCTCCTCCCTCTCTTACCATTTTTAACAGGCGGTTTCAAGTAACTATGGCAACAACCCTGAGAATTTTCAGCTTACTTATTTCATCTGAAATCTGGGTCATGTTTTTCTCATTAAGTGAAACTACTGTATGGAGATAACTGACCCAAACTCAGCCCTTGCTGCAAGAGAAAGCAGCACCAATTATAGCACCACTTCCAAGTACTTATGTGATGGCTGTATATGGTCCACTGTATAGAAAAATTTAAAGGTACAAAGCAAGCCACTTGTAATTTTGAGAGTATTTTGTAATATTGGATACATTTCACCCATAACTTACCAAGGGAGAACTATGTTGTAACTTGCTTTAATGGGTGTTGATTTATAGGTTGGTTGGAATAGTCTTATGTCACTGAAGGGATGCCTTTTCAGAGTGGTACTGAGTGATTTAAATGATACTGGTAACGTTTTTCTCATTATTTGTAGAGAACATGTGGTGTTGTGAAATCTCAAAGCTGTCTCCTGGCATAACAGGTATTAACCTCCTTTCATCTGTCACTCTCCAGTCTGCTGGGATCTGAGATCACAGTTTAAACCCAGAAACATCTCCAGATTTTAATGTATAGCAATGCCAAGGAGATAGGATTGTCTCAAACATTCCTTTCCTACATACTGAGATATACCATGTCTCCTTGCCCCTGGGATCACTTAAAATCCTAAGACAACTACTGTGTTTGTTCAGGGAGAAGCCATGTGAAGCAACAATGACAACGTATTTATGTACACACTTGATACTGTGGGTGACCTGGAAGCAAAGCACAAAGCCTGTGATGGGTAACCACTCTAATACTTTGTGTTTCTTATCCTGTAAATTGGTAAACATCAGCATCAGATCTTGGATGGATTGTTAGGAACAGGAAGGGATTCAATGATTTGGCAAAGTATTCAATAGCGTTAACCAA